GTCGGTACAACACAGTCCTGCAGAGAAACAGGAACATCTGCCTGTCTCGCAGGTGCTCCCCTTGCAACTGCAGTGTATCACTTGCAAAACACTATCAGGGGCCGGATTTCTTGTCATCCAGGTGATTTGTAAGTTTCCATCCTCTAGGTGGCAACCATATCCAGCAAGTACTCATCTGGCAGAATATCTTGTAGCCGACATCAAATGTTGGCTCACTTCTGAAAACATATGAATCAGAAGGAAAAAACAACATTAAGTTACTGTACCAGAAGATGTGCAGTGATTGTGTTCACAGACAATAGAAAGAAAAGTATTGAGTTTTTACTTATGTAACATTAGGTTAATGGCCTAGAGACCAAAATGGTGGGCAACGTCCATTCCGACATCCCACCACTCCAACATGGGCCTCTAATTGTCTAAATGGCAACACTTAATTTTCCATCAAATGTCCCATCATTCCGACAATTTTTTTCTCCTATGGTCGGAATGACGGAATTTCTTTTTTTTTTTAAACCTCCTGCCTTTCCGACAATTCCTTTAATGGCCTATTTTTCTACCCAAAAGATTTTGCACTAATGATATGCTGGCACAAATACGCCCCTAACTCCACAACCTCGCAAACCAACTTTAATAATCTATTATCAAAATCTCCTGAAATGTCAAATATCAAAATACAGGTATTAATGTAACTCGGCGAGTCTGAAACATGTTAGATTCATGTCTGAATCACAAGGATCACTGACCGTAAGTAGAAATACAGTGCCAGTGACCTGTCACAGCAGCCAGCTGGAGCGGAGCTCTCCACAGAGCCCATGCGTCTTTATGCACGTTGGCAGCATATGCAACAATAATAATTGCAATTGCTTGTCTGTGGATTTCGCCGACCAAAATGTCATGTAGACATTTTTTTTACATGTAAGGGGAGCTGAACATACAGCTTTCATCCACAAACCAACGTGGGAGAGCCCCAAGACGTGTGTGCCAGATGCACAGAGGCATGCATAAAACACCAATTTTGACCACTTATGCTGTTTAGTTGCTTTTTTAGTTAACTTTCATTTCTTTTGGATTTTTGTGCGTATTATAGAGCCGTTTTGGTCCAAGTTTGTAAGCCTTTTTTTTCCTGGATAAAATTTTCTAAAGTTGCAACAAGCGGTGTCGGAGTGTGTGATTGAAAACCACCACGTCCTGCTTCCAGTTCAAGGCATCTCCTCCTTCGGATGCCGAGACTTTGTGTTTATTAATTAAGCTTTCACTGACTGTATCACATCTGTACACATGTCTTAAAACATGAAAAATGCATGAACAGAAAGAAGGGAGTCATCTGTTGAGTAATGCACATTTCCTTATATGGAAAGCCTTGTCGGAATGGTGGGACGTTTGCATGTCGGAATAGGGGTATGTCGGAATGGCATTATGTCGGAATGGTGGGATGTCGGAATGACAGCATGTAACCAGAGAAAATACAATATAATAAATAACTTACTGTTCTTTGTCTGGTCTTGCAGGAACACTCAAAAACCTGGTGTACTGTTTGTAACGGCACTTGTGGTATTGCACCCCCAGAGCCACACAGTCTTTGTCTTTAATATGCAGAAGAATGCTGTGGTCTTCCTTCAACTCGGCAGGTTTCTGCAACTGACCTAAGTAACAAAAGATATGTTGACATATCTCTCTCACGTAATTGAACTTTTCAGTCATGCCACTAAGGTGTGTGTGTGTGTGTGTGTGTAGGTAGGAGGAGGAGGGTGCTGCATGTTGTGGTTACCTACCTGCTGTCAATGTTTCAGCCTGTGTCAGATAGACCTTTTGGCGTTTGCCTGCCTTGGTGATATATTTGTCCGTTTTCTTGCATATTATGCACAGGGCAGGAAGGACAGAGCCTGAGCACTGGATAGGCAGGCCTGACTTGGACCGAAGTGTCTTCGTCGGAGGAGTGCTGCTGGACGGAGACGGGACAGACTCTCTTCTTGAGCGGTCTTCCGTATCAGTCTTTCTCTCACGTGCGAGCTGTCTCTCCACTGAGTCTATTGCTTTTTTATCAGTAAACCTACGATAGCAGGTGGGATGGTAGGCAGCGTCCTCGGGAATATCTTCAAACTCGATATCTAAACAGTGTTTGTAGTTATGGTAAATGGACCTGCATTTGTATAGTGCCTTTCTAGTCATCTAGTGACCACTCAAAGCGCTTTTTACACTACGAGTCACGTTCACCCATTCACACACACACTGTGTCACTCTTGTCTGTTGTTTTTATTTATTTTAATTGTGATTTTAATTGTGTTTTTAATGCTCTGTAAGTGTCCTTGAGTGTTGAGAAAGGCGCTTTTTAAATAAAATGTATTATTATTATTCATACACTGGGGGATACCATACAAGGTGCCACCTGCTACTCAGTTTTAACACACTGATGGAACAGCCATCGGGAGCAATTTGGGGTTCAGTATCTTGCCCAAGGATACTTCGACATGCAGCCTGGAGGAGCTTTCAATTGGTGGACGACCCGCTCTACCTCTGAGCCACAGCCACCCAACCAAATCCCGAAACTCGCCTTCAGTGCGAGCCACCAGTCTAGGCTTTTCCTGTATGTATTCCAGCGTGTGATGGTGAAATTTTGCACCTTCTCTGGCTTTACAGAGACTATGTGCATATAGCACTGTTTATGTTTCAGTTTTCTACCTTTTTCAGGACATTCTGGTGTGTTTTCCTCATCACTGCTGTAGGAAGAAGCCATATTTCCGCGCCGACATCTGGAAACCATGACGACATGACAAGCCGTTCTTTATTGGTGTAGTGCGATCACGTGACGGCCGTGCCACCACTCGCGAACCAAATCTCATTACGCTCAGGAGGAACTAATTAGTATGCTCAGGAGGAACTAGTGCCAAATTACGACCCCGATCACAGGACTCTTGCGGGGTTATGAGCTACGAACTCCTGCTGATTAGCTGAACATGTATCAGTCTTTTTTATGAAGTAAAGATCGTGTAGTCCCTCAATGTCGGAGTGGGAATCAGTTTCTGTAGGACTTTTTCTGGTTCACCTTACGGCCTAATTGTTTGGTACCTGCTGTCAAATCCCTTTTTTGTCAGTTCATTTTTGGCTTGATTGGAGGGTAACTCAGGCCACCTGTTGTGCAGGTGTGGGTACTGACTACTGATAAAGAATGGAGAGCAGCTTGGTGCATTTCCACAGTGGGCCAATCAGGGTGTGACGCTGCACTCTCTGAGGGCTGAAGAGAGCTGAGAACAGGTACACCCAGGACATTCTGACTCTTCCTTGTTTGAATGCAGACTTCATGTTAGCAAACAGAAACTCTGGTCTCCAGGCCTGTTTGAGAATTCAGCGCTGTCTTTTGCTGTTTGAGGGGATTTTGTGCATCTTAAGACTTCAGTGGAGGGAACATTAAAGAACCCCTTAACACTGGGTCACCTGCATCTGAACTGCTTTTGTTTTTTCATGCAAGAGTTTAGCTCGCCAAATGATCACCTAACACTCACAGGCCTTATATAGTGATTTTATTTATTGTTTTTTTTCATTGAAACTCAACATAACCCAAAGCTCATATTTAAACACGTGTTCATTATCAAAGAGACATTTGCTTCAGATCACATCTGATCACAGTACCTTCTTCCATATTAGGCACCAAAGTGTTTTGACTGTGAGGTTTGATGCTTTTTAAATAAAGTGGGCTGCCAGTCAGAGTCACAGAGAAAGGAAGTGGATCTGTGAAACCACAGACCACAATGAGGCACACAGCACAAACAAACAGCCCACAACTCAGTTCAGTTTAAAAGGTGAATTCAACCAGCAAACAAACAACACAAATCTTGTGTTGTGGTATTCCCAGTACTGCTCACCAGTTTGTCAGTCAAGTTTGCAGCATCGTACTTAAGTCTTTGAAGACTGAAACTCTGGAAAAAATCAGACAGGAAAACATACAGCACCACAGTATAGCTTCGTCTACTGACACCGGCTTGCTCTCCAGTAGTGAACTAAACAACATAATCTGACATCACACTCTGATGTCGAGGGTAAAGCTGGCGCACTCGTTTTCACTGATCAACAGCAGCAGCAGTTTTGAAAGACACTGTTTTTTTTCTCTGACCTGTCAAGTTAAAGTAGTGAGTGGAAATGCACAATCATATCAGCACACTATCAGTATTGGCCGATATCGGCTTTAAATGAACTGAGAATGTGCAGTGTCTTATTTTCCATCACTGCAGCAGGAGGAAGCAGAGAGCCGCTGTGGCAGCTTGACGAGGGCACACAGAAGGGACAAAATAAAGCAACATGCAATATTTGCGATTAAAAACAAAGAAGGTGTCATGATCGGACCTTAATCGCATCACAGTTAACGCATTAACACTGATAATCTTTCACATGCATTTTGGTGAACTCCATACATGTTCTTATTTCTGTTTTATTTTTTGGTTCACAAACAATACAAGAAAAATCCTGATAAATGACACAAAACTACAGTTTAAAGATGAGAAAGCAGGGAAGCATCCAACATGAATATTTGCTGAACATTGCAATGGCAACAAATATATTGTGTCAATACACTCACAGGCAAATAACTTAAACAGCTGTAATGCATCCCAAAGATTCAAAGCATTGCATTTTCTTAGCTGGAGCGTTTCACCACATTAAACTCAGAGTGATTCAGCTTTAATCAAACAAGTAGTTTGTACACAGACAAGCCTCCAGGCTGCAGCTCCTATAGGTGCCTCTTACAATGTGTGTTTACAACAACGTAAACATTATTTTATACCTGCACAGACACCAAAAGTCATTTTGGTATTTTTCTATAGCTGTGAAAAAAAGACAACAAAACCCTCAGTTATAACAGAGGTGATTTATAATACACGGTCAATAATGACCCGATATTTCACTGACCCTCAAAATCAATAATACTCTAATGCTTCTAGGCAGATACAACACAGGTTTGGACACAACGGGTCCAAAGTGACTCTTCAGTGTGTTTTTCATGCAGAGTTTTAACATGAAAACGCAGCAGCATCCACCTTCTGAAGCACAGCAGGCACCGCTCGGACAATCTCCCTCCTCTCCTGTTTACACTGCAGAGCCTGCAGAAGGACAACACAGCAGAGACAATAATTACTAATGATATCAAACCTGCTGCATCCACCAACAACACTGACACTGCTGCAAAACAGCCTGCATGACACTGCTCTGACCTGGAAGTAGACAATGATGATGAGCACAAACATGACCAGTACCACCAGCACAACCACAGGAACACTGACTGGTGCCGTCCCATCATCATCCTCTTCTTCATCACCCCGGTGTCCAGTCTGTCTCTGAGCCTCCAGCACAGGACAGTCAGAGCTTTCTGTGGATGAAGGAGATGGATGAAGACAAAGTGAGACTGAAAGTGAGACTGAAATGTGTGTCAGTTCAGTGGGTGAACACAAACGAGAGCGTCTGCAGGTCACGTGTGGGCGTCTCACCTAAAACATGAATGAGTGTGCCATTGCCAGTGAGTCGCAGGTACGGCGGTGGGTAGAAGACCTCGATCTTACAGCGGTACATGTCTGTGTGTTTGGCTTTCAGTCCAGACACTGTCACCTCCACAGCGCCCTCTCTCAGCTGAGCAGAGCACTGCACCTAAAACACACATCGCACATTAGTTTGATTCCAGCTGTTGACAGGTGGTCTTTTTAATTTGAGTCATGACATACGAAGATGCAAGTACAAGAAGGAAACAACAAAGAGGTTTAATAGAATGAAAAGAAGGTAGCAGTATCGTGTCCCCTGCACCCAGTGGTGCTCCTGGAGGGGGACAGAAGGAACATACATACAGTATTCGTCCTCATCCATGGATAGGATGTGACATAAAGGTAATCACCTTATTTGGGTTCTTTCTTTGGAAAGCCTGTGCACTCATACATCGGTCTAATTTCATAGTGTAGTAGCTCATATTGAATAAAGACTTAGGGCCCTATTTAGACGATCTATGGTGTCCAGGTGCATCTAGGGCCTGTCAAGCTCCACTTAAACTGCATATAATCTGGATACAAAGTAAGGCTTTATTTATGCTAAATGTTAGATATGGAGATGGAGACAGTCAGGGCCTTCGGTCCACAGTCTGTTTATTTTGTCCATATTTGTGCATGTTTCAGGACCACTGGAGATGGTGGAGGCAGTGTGGCGTAGTTCAAACAAGACATGGCCACAGAAGATGACAAAGAAAAGGTACAATATTATAAACTTCTCCACCCGTGCCTCGTTTGTTGTTGTCTGAAATTTTTGACTCTTTTTTGAAACTTTTGATTTACATGGCTGATTCAGTCAACTGGAGAAGTAAGCATTAAGAGCAGTGATGTCACTGCAGCAAATATTGTGGGACTTTACAGCAGCAAAACTAAAAGCTGCAGTTATAAAGCTGACAGAGGAAACAGAGCTTAACTTTAAGCCTCTGAAATAATCATTAAAGTTACGCTGCTCCTTGTACGTAAATGTGCACAGCGTCTATCGTAATAGAAAGTCCAGCAGCAGCAATAAGGGCGACCAGCCTCGTATCATGCTGACTTCGGAGTGAGACAGGGTCGCAGCTCTGCTCTGCTCTCTGCTATGTTCACATTTTACAGAATGTCATTGATATTTTCCTCATTAATGATAACATTTTACCAACCTGCAACCCATCAGCATGTCCCTGTGTGTGTAACACGAGTGTACACGTGTTGGGAACCCAACTATGTAGACGCATCTTACAATCTGAATAATCTGCCCTAAAAAATAGCAGGATAATGCTGCACCATTCTAACTTCAGACTGAGAGTTTGTTGGTCAACAATCACTTTCTGCTGCCTCAGAGAAGCCAACAATGCACCTGCCCACACCTCATTTTAGGACCTACATGCCCATGAGGGTACAGATGGGAGCACGTATGTTTGCTACTTACTCATCATGGGTGCTGACCATGATAGTGACAACTGTGTCAGTCTTAAACTCGCAAGTTGCATTGTGCTGTGCACCCTTTTTAAGATATGGCCCATTACCTTCGGAGCATAAGACATATCCAATAAAAATGTTTCACCAGATGTCACATGTTGCAAAATCCTATTTGTTGCACAGAAGTCTGTGACATCATTGTTTTTCCAACGGAGCCCCGCCCACATCAGAAATGTAAAAGCAGAAAATCTCTCTACTGGAATTTGCAAAACTGTTTTAACTTTGACAAAAATAATGGTTCTGATGAAGGATCCCTGTCTCTTACAGTAAGAGGCTGACAGGGAAAAGACAACATCATTTCAGGGCATTTAATGTGAGATTACATTATTTCGGATTTTGGATGTACCTCTCGCTCTTTCTCCGCCTCTTCCTCGACCTGATCTGTGAAGTTAAGCATGGACGAGCAGAGTTCCTGGGTGCCGTAGAGTCCTTTCAGCAGGGTCACACGGAGCTCCTCAGGGTCAGGGTAGGGATAGTGCTGGGTTTGGTCAGAGAAGGCTTGGATCTGGTTGAAGGAGGGTTGGGGTTGGACAAAGCACTGGACCCGTGCCGTACCGTTGCTGCTCACCACTTTATAGGGCTGGGTCACCTTCACAGCTGACAGGAAAAGGGATGGAGACAATTCAGGAATGAACTGATGTGTGTTGTTTTTTTTCTCTTCAGAGTTTGGACCTCATGATTATGGACTGAATCCAAAGGGGGGATGACAGACAAGATCTCTGCAGATTTTTAAGGATAGAATGAACAAGAAGCTCACTGCAGCTGTCTGTGAAGGAGCAATCCAACTATGAAGTTTACAGTCAGAGGCAGACAATCGTAAATCATTCACTGTTGATGTTACTTGAAATCGAATTATTCTCATTACTTGTTACATTATTCTCAGTTACTCAGCTCTGACCTACACAATCCCAAAAACTCTCCACACCCACATGTCACTTCCTGTGTTCAGCACATGGGGACATTAAAAGACGAAGCACTGTGGTTTTACTGCAGACGGCAGCTCTGCAGAGATCCCGTTGTCACAATGAGACTGCGGCGTTCACACACGCCCTGAACAAAACCAGGTGATTCCTGAATGTAGACTAACTGGTGACTATCGCTCGCTAAGAGGCCAAACAAACACTTTCCACCTACTTTTTCCACTGAACACAGACTGGAAAAACTCACAGCAAACTCCTCACCAGACAGCAAACAAGTCAACATGTCAAAATTTCAACCACTATGTGGCCTACAGGTAGAACTGAATTACACTGAATTGCAGAGCTTGATGTGCTTTCAGTGCCACAGTATTTATCACCATGGGACCATCAACAATGAAAATCAACAGACAGAGTTTAATGAGGACTTTTAACCATTTTTCCACCTTCACATGAAAGGCTTCAGTATTTTTCAACCTGGACACTACTGTCCCATGTTTTTGTGTCTAACTGATCGGTTGGAACAACAATTTTTGCAACTGCTCCAGTATCAAACGAGAGCGCTGCAGCTGCAAAACAGGCTGCAGTGTAGCCTGGTTCCAGACCATAGACCCCGCCCACTCAACTGAGTAGGCTTGCATCTCTGGTCTGGCAGACTTCAATGAATTTGCAATTTATCTCATCCAAACGATGGACAGACCAATGAACGCCGGGGGTCTAGCGATTAGCCAATCAGCTCCACGCTGATGTCAAGCTGTACGCCGGTGGGTAACTGGTGAGGATAGCAACAATGGTGACCGTTACAGATCCTACAGACCACATTAACGATGCTATCGAGGTATTTCGCCACTACTCGCGTTAATGGAGGACCAAATTAAGGAAGCTGCTAAACTGGATTTAACAGCGATGCAGCTGGGCGTGTACGACGACAGAGATATTTTAAACGGGCAATGCTCGCTTGTTTTCGGCACCCCCGAGGCATGGATACTAATGACGTCAGATTCTGGGTGAGTCGTTGATCTCTACTGATTGGTTAGGGAAAAAATCAAATTCCCTCCCCCTTGTAAATCGCCTTCAATGGAAGCCATGTCAGACTGAAGGTTCTGCGAGCTTCAGTCTGACACTCAGGCTAGCTGCAGTGTGCATGTTTGCACCGCCAATTTACGTCCACTTAAAGTGTCTGTTTTTGCCACTGAGAGGCTCAGATTATTATACTAAGTTGTTGTCAGACATTATACTAAGTGTCTGAGAACATTATGGAAATGATTCCAACAGCGTTAAACTAGACTAGACATTCAAAGTTGACAGAAACAAATAAAGCTCACAAAAGCTGCTGTGGTGATTGTTGGAGCAGAGGAAAGACAAACCAACCTTGCTTTGGTTGAAATAAACCCTAAATTCACTCAGTTAGACGTGAAAACATGCTGCCTCTGTACACACTAAATTTACTGGTATTTAAATGGAGTCTGGTGAGTTTGGCGAAGGTGATTTTGGGGCTGTTTCTGGTTAAATAGAAAGGATCTTTCTCTTAAACAAAAAGGTCTATCTCTGTAGGGATCATTTCCATAATGCTGCCAGACACTTAAAATACCAATCTGAGCCTGTCAGTCGACGTTATTTGATGGTGCATGATTGCCTTGTGTGATACTTTGCAGCCCAATACTTCAATTAAACACAAAGACATGAGAAAATAGAGTCCAGTTGAAAAAAACAAACCCACAACCTTTTTGTTTTCTCATGCTGAAAGTTAAATGAGAGGATTAATACCATTCTCTCATCTGTGTCTTAAATACAATACAGTCCAGTTAGCTTAGCTTAAAGACTAAAGGAAAACGTCTGTCATATAACTACCTGTAAAACTTTTTTACACTTTCTTACACTTTGCAAACATATGACAGAGATATAACAGATTAATCAGTGAGCTTTTACAGCTTTAGCTTTAGTTTGTCAGCTTTGGATGGAGCCAGGCTAGCAATTTCCCCTTGTTTCCAGTCTTTGTGCTAAGCTAACAGGCTGCTGGCCCCAGCTGTATACTTACTGCTAATTATTTCCAGGACATTACAACATGTAACTGTAATATTTCACAATAAATTACATTTGTATCACTTCACTGGCTTTTACTGAGATATTCAACCAGATTTTATTGTGAAATTCATAGTAATTTTACAAAAGCAGTTTAACTGAGAGATTACAGTTATACACAGTAATTCTACAGGAGCATACTGCTAAATCACAGTAATATGCAGGCATAACTACAGTGAGATCACAGTATACAGCTGTCAGTTCACAACAGTGTGCTGTAAAAATGTCAGGAATTTACTGTAAATGTACAGTCAAATATTTTACAGTGCAGATATAAGAGGCATATCTCCCACAGTCTTGTTCTGTACTTTTAGTTTATTTTGTGTTCATCAGTTGCTGTGTGTATTTAGGGCCAAATTAAAGCCATCAAATTCCTAGAGGTACTTAATTTCTGAGAGGATTTCACTAATAATTCATGACAACTGGAATATTCTGTAAATATGTTAAGAAAAACACCTACAAAACGCAGTTATATGAAAGCAAAAAGTCTCCTCTCTCATATCAAGTGTGAATTCAGTGCTCATCAGGCTGCTGCTAAGGTCACTTCATCTGAAACTGAGTCACCATAAGGTCAGGGTCTTACCTGCCCACAGAGGTCCAGGAAGACAACAACAGCTTGTCAAATGTTAATCTTTTATCACCTGATAGCAGAAAGTGTCACCAACCCCTGAACTAAACATCCCATCACTTAAAGTGTGTTGATACTCACCGCTGCACACAGGCAGGCAGAGGCTGAGGACTGTCCCCAAAATCCAAACCATCACACAGTGAGTCAGGAACATCCTACAGAATCTCACAAAGTTACACACTGACAGTCAAAAATCACCAAAAATGCTGGTGAGCTCACGCACACCCTCTCACTGAAGAAATTTCCTTAAAACACAGCAAAAACGGTGAAACTCACCTTTATAGTCGAGCGTTTTCCTCAGCTGTCATGGAAACTGTGTGCCATCACAGGAAGTGATGATGGTGTTTTGCCGGTAAAGAGAGACGGCAAGTTGAAGCGGCTGTGGTTCTGCAGGAAAGCTGAGAAGAACTGAATTCAGTGATTTTACCAAAGCAGTTTAGTCTCAGCGTTATTAACAATCTCTTTGGCTTAAAAAATAAAAGAAGCAGAAAAACTTAACTCCAACAATTTCTTATTGTGTTTGCTCAAAGTCACAGTTATGGAGAACTAAAGAAAATAAAATCATGCTGAAATCTCATTTGATTTTCAAATGTTTCTGAGGCAGGTTTACATGTCGGAAACAAAAGAAATCTACTCAACCTTTTCTGCAGGTAACACTTGTGGAAAGTTTTGCGCTGAGAGTCAAATGACTTGTTCAGGTGGAAACTTTTGCAGGGCTGATATTAAGTTTGAATTCCTGTTGATCGCCCTGCTGAGTCTGAATTTTCCCTGCAAGATTTAGATTTAGATTACAGTGTTATTATCAAACTAAATATAATAATCTATGTTTTTAGTCATTTCTGTGTTTTGCTTCCGAATTAAAAAGAAATCCTTTTACATAAGCCTTCAGCTTTATACCTGTTTGTGAACAATATCCCCTAAAGCCTGCACAGTGATGACTGTACCACAGCAGCACTTTATTCTGAGCTCTCAGCTGTTGAATTCACACATTAGTGTCAGTCTCTCAGGAATCAGCAGAAGATTTCTGGTTTCGGGTTATAACACTTCCAGCTCCTAAAGTCAGCACATCCTGAATCAATATGACTCTTCAAAAGTGACCTAACAAGAGGTGAATGAAGGGCAGCATTCATCGCATTTACAGGAGCAGGATAGGAAGTTGTGTCAGGGCAAGCAGAGAGAAGCTGAACAGCAGCAGAGTGATTGCATCATGCTGTGAGTGGGATGTACAGTAGAAACTGCTGCAACTCGACTGCAATCTCTGACTCCAGCTGCAAAATGTCATGAATTCAGTAACAGACACTAAGTGCTTCACATCCAACACATTCTCACTCTGACCTCATCACATATCAATGTGTGATCACGGACTTTCCACGAACGGATACAACATGCAAAGTACCCTGGGTGCGTTGGTTGTTAGTGGGCGCTAGCAGTTTGTTGACACTGCCAGGCGTTGTTAAATAATAACAGCGACCAGCTGTGTATCATGTATCATCATCAGACTTTGGAGTGAGACCCGGTTTAACTTGTGCACTGTAATTTAGTCTTTTTTCTTGTCTTCTTCCATCATTGGCTGCTGCTTTATAATCGTCCATGTTTCCAGATGGTTCTGGTGATCAATGATTGCTGGGTGTGGAATAATTTAATTCCACACATCCTGATCCCAACAAGACAGCTGCGTGGTTGCTCCTCCTGAACACGAGTATCTGACTCTCAACAGTGTATAGCAGTGATCCACAGCAGGAGCAGGACAGCACCTCACATTCCCACTGTCACACCAGTCCTTATTCACCGTAAAGCACACGTCTCCTCTCCCTCTCTCCCAGAGTCCTCTGCTCTGTCAGATCCACATAAAAAAAGACTCACCTGGTTGAATGGCCTTATCCAGGATTCAGCCAAGTTTTAGTGAATCAAAGGATATTATAGTTTCTTATATCCTGTCGGAAACTGATGTGGAATAGAGACCGTGCAGTTTATTTTCTAACACCTTAACTACAGCGAGCAGGATGGTAGTTCAGCTGGTGCTCGTTCCTCTTTATCTTTTCCTCGATGTTTACATTTGAAAACCTCAACCTGGCCACCACACAGAAGTTGGCAGGAGAAAAGTTTAGACAGGTGAGAGGACGTCCTCATTCTGATGACTGAGCCACATCCACACAACCACCATCCAACACCAACCACAAAAAACACCACCAACAAATAAACCGAAGAGCCTAAAGTTAGCACAAATTCAGTGGAGCTAACAGACTGGAAATGTCTCCACCTATTTCTTGACCTTTTAAAAAGAAGAAAATGTGATGTGACGACCCAGTCTCACTGTGAAGTCATCAAAACTCGACGCTTAGTCAGTGACTTCCAGCGTGAGACACTGACCGTCTTTCATGTCAGCATGATACGCAGCCGGTTGCCCTTATTGTTTAACGGCACCTTGCGGCGTCAGGGGGAAAAGTGGTGCGAAAACAACGGAAGATAAGGCAGTGGAAGTCTAAATAGGGTGGATGGGTCCAACAACCACCGACTTTCACTTTCCATACGATTGCAAAGCCAAACCGTGTTCGTTTTTCCTAAACCCAACCACATGCGTTTGTTTGGAGAGCATTTATTTTGCAAATGCAAACTGTACATTTCCTATGAAAACAGAAGTGTATTTCTAAATCAGACAATGCATGTAACAGGCTGAAGTTGACAGAACCTAGAGGACACTCCCAGGGTACCTTGCACATGTATCTCAACGTGGAAAGTCCATGACCAAGTGTGGACATGTGACGAGGTCAGAGTGAGGATGTGTTGCTTTTAGGGGACGTACACTGACAGTGCAGAGGAGTAAATCAGTTATTTGTTACTGTATAGTAAAGCCTTGCAGTAGCTTCCCTTTATCTGTCTATCTGCATCAGCTTCTTTATTTACTGAATCTGGGTTATATAAACACAGACATTTACAGTGTTGCTCAGAAAGGCTGAAAAAAACCTTTAAAAATAAACCTATGATTTGTAATGTGGGGTTGAAATGGAGTGAGTGATGCAATCAAAAGTTTGATTCTGATTTTACATCATGCGACAGTTTCTGTTATGTCATCAACTTTATTCTTCTTTGGAATATTAATCATTTTTTGCTGACTCATCTTGTTTGAATTTCTTTGCGCTCAGTACCTGATAAAGTTGCAAACAGTGGAAAATAGCTATTTCTAGTCGCTGTGTTTTCAGATAGATCAACAGTGAAAGTGCTGATGTTGTGACATTCTGAGTCGTCCTGACGTCACATCTGTGTTTTGCCTGGAAACACTCTGTGGGGTTAAACCCCATTCTGACTGAAGTCACAGTCAGCACTACGATCTTCAGTCACCCTGGAAAACAGTGGTTTATTTCTGCTGCTGTCATTGTTTCAGAATGGCTTAGCATGAAGTGCAGAAATATAATCAGAAACTGTCGGTCAGAATTTATCAGATGAAACTGATTTCAGTGCAGATTAAACTACGTAAGGTGATATCAGCTAAACTGGGCCACTTTTTGGTTAATCACTTGGGAAACTAAGAAAAAACAATGTATGACATTTGATTGTGTTCCTATGATTAATAATGACAGTTTTTAATATTTTTGTGTTGAATTTATGTAATAAAATATAATTGTTAAGACCCTACAGCTGTTGAAACATCAGCTGTCCCCCATTTTTGAGATGTGCAGTGTTCAGGTAAAATGGGCCACTCAAATTATCTTTAATATCAACACACATAACACAATAGACCATTACATTTAAATACATTAAATGCTTTAAAGAATTCATGAAAAATAACATTAATATAGTAATAACATAGCGATCAGGCTTCAGGTCCTCTCTCTTCCTTTCTCCTCCTCTCCTTTCCTCTCTGTTCCTTCTTGTTTGCCATACTGTAATTATAGTTTCATGTTACTTTACTTAACCATCTTCCACTATCACTTCTAGGCTACAGTACATCAGCCTCTTTCACCTTTCCCTTTCTCGTGTGTGTGTGTGTGTGTGTGTGTGTGTGTGTGTGTGTGTGTGTGTGTGTGTGTGTGTGTGAGAGAGTGAGCGCTAGCTAGTGAGAGCTAGCTCACGATGCGCCCTGGACCAGAGCTAACACACACATTCATAATTACAAAGGAAAATGTGAAGAAGCCTGTAACATACAATAATATAATATATTTATATATTAATACTTTTTAATAAGAGGAACCATCAAAATATTTGCTAGAACTCAACTCAGAACGTGGCTCATTTTAGCTGAACTGTGTGGCCCAAAACACATTAAGGTAAACTGGGCCACTAATAATTTTATTTAGCAAAACATTAGCATTATATCTGATGGAGGACATCAGGACATGTATTATACATCATTATTTATATATGTAGTACATTTGTTTTTTATTGAATTATCAACCTTATCATTGACAGTTAAGATTTGGTATGTCAGGGCACTCACCATGCAGTTCTCTGGAGCAGTCTCAATATGAGGCTTTGCCCCACCCACCATAGCAACCATAGACCAATCAAATCAATTGTTACGTGTCAAGTACTGTTGCGGCAACAGTTTGAAATCATTTGCATTCATTGGCTGTTAACTTTTAAAGAGCTGAGACGCTCAAACCTTAAATGGCCCAGTTTATCTGATGTCACCCTATATCTATCTATCAATCAATCAATCAATCAATCAATCAATCAATCAATCAATCAATCAATTTTATTTATAAAGCCCAATATCACAAATCACAATTTGCCTCACAGGGCTTTACAGCATACGACATCCCTCTGTCCTTAAGACCCTCACAGCTGATCAGGAAAAACTCCCCAAAAAAA